CTTTTTGATTCCGGCACTCATTTTAAACCTCTTTTGAGGTGTCCCAAACCATCCGAATAGTAACGTGAAGAACCCTCGACACCTATGCCATGACCATGATACAATGAAAGTGAATCGTTCCCCGCTTAAGCGGTAGCAAGGTCCTTCTTGAGAGTACCCTGGTACTGCTTCTTCTCCGCCGGCGTCTGGAAAGCACCGTGTCCGAACTCGGACGAGGTGTCGATCCACTTGAGGTCGATCTTCTCGAGGGCCTTGCGGGAAGTGTGAGTCCACATGGACTTGCGGAGGGTGACGACACGCTTCTTGGGGCCGGGGATGGAGCCCTTGACCATGACGAAGTCGTTCTTGACCTCACCGTAGCGGACGAAGCCACCGAGGCTGAGAAGATGTTAGCAGTTGCGCGCAGCTGAACAGATGGTGGGGAAACATACGGAGTGATGGTCTTCTTGGTGACGTCGAGCTCAGTGGCAGCGTTGTCGTCGGCGGTGCCCTTGCCGATTCTGTAAACCTTGTGGTTGACAGAGGTACGGTGGTGGTATCCGTCCTGACCGGCACGGGCGACGGTCCACTGGACGTGGGAAGGATGCCAAGCACCGATACAAGCGACCTTGCGGAGACCCTTGTGAGTCTTGCGAGGAAGCTTCTTGGTGCCCCAACGAGAAGTGACACCGTTGAATCCCTTGCCCTTGGTGACGGCAATGACGTCGATAACCTCGTCCTTCTCGAAGACGGTGTCGATCTCGACGGGCTTCTCGAAGAGGCCGTAGCCGAAGTCGACCTTCTCGGGAACGGAGCCACCGTTGATCTGGATCTCCATGAGGTGGGCCTTCTTCTGCTTGAGGGGAGTCTTGCGGATCTGAGTGTGGGCGAGGACACGGACGACGGTGCAGTACTTCTTGATGCGCTCAATCTCGCGGGTAATGTTGGCGCCGGAGGACTCGGTGTGCTGCTTGGCGTACTTGGTGAAGGCCTTCTTCTTGGACTTGTACCAGTTCTTGTAGAAGCGGCGGCGGAGCTCATCGGACAAGTGCTCGGCCCAGACGGTGGTGAGAGAGCGAAGACCGCGGGGAGTCTCGATGTAGCCCACAAGACCAACAACGATCACCTGTAAGATGTTAGCCATAGGCACAAAGCCAAGCGGGCTGCGTTGCTAGTACAGGGGGGGTATCAATGATGGAGACGGCCTCAACCACCTCCTTCTTGTTGGCCTTGGCGCCGGGACGGTCGAGGTCGCGAACGATCGTGGTCATGCCGGCCTTATATCCCATAGTAGCTGTGAGATGGCATGATTTGCGAGCATCGTCCTTGGGGAAGCTGTAGAGAGACGATGATGTTAGCTTTGAGGTCATCGTGAGGCAAAATTTTGGGAAAATCCAGGAAAATCCCGAGAACTTCAGAAGCGCAACAAAACGACGAGAAAGAAAGGGAGCACGAATCTTGACTTTTCCGCGATGCCTGGCAGCACGCTTGCGCGGGAGGTAGGCCAACGAACCGTGGCGAGGAGCCTCGTACTTGCTGTGAAGAATTAGCCGTTGTTCTTGTCGATGTTCGCGTAGTTCGAGGGCGATTGGGAAGCGAATCGGGAGAATGAATCGAGAGGAATTGGGAAGCTCTACCGGTGAGACATTTTGGCGTCCTGTGAATTGGCGGGGTTAGTAGGACGAAAATGCGATTGTCGACGGTCGAAAAAGGTGTCGGAGAGGTTGATGTGAGGCTTTTCGCGAGAGGCCCTGCGTAGGTGGGGATGGGAGGATGGGAAGATTCCTGACGAGAAGGGCAAGCCCTTATCGATAAGTCAGGTGCCTCCTTCCCGAAAAAAAAAATCCTGCTTCTCATCTGGTCCGTGCAAATGCACTGGAGCGGCCCAGATCACGTGCTGTTCCGGCTGTCTCCACTTTCTGCCGCCGTCTTAGAATCTTAGTTTCATCGTGTCAGATGTGATTCCATTGCTGCTGGTGTCTCTATCGTCGTCTCCATTGTCTTCGTCGTCTGCCGTCGTCCAGTTGGTCCTGACAACTAACCTAGAATCCAGGCATCTATGATATTCCTGCCTTCTTTACTTTCGCCGTTACTCTTGCTGTCCTTGTTACTGTCGTCTCTCGTTGTCGTTGTAGCCGCTTCTGTCACTATCGTAGTCGTCTTCGTCCGTCATCGTTGTATTGTACATCTGATCTCGAACTTCACGTATCAGATTCTCTTCCTATTTCACTTACTTCCGCCGTTTCCCTTGTCACTGCCGCTACTGTCCCCGTCGTCGTTGTCGCTGTCGTCCTCGTCTTCCGGTGTCTCTCCCGGGTCCGTCGAAGCAACAGCCCGTTCCTCTTAGCTATCCCTAATGTTCGAATATCTGATGCGAACAACTCCGAAAGACTGTTATTCTGTCAGCGGCTGTCTCTTCTCGATAAGTCGGCGCCGGGCATCCTACAGGAGTGAAGAGCGCCGCAGTTGAATTTCCCTACCTTTCTGGCCCAGGAGTATCATGTGGCTCCTTCTGTTTCTGTCTTCTGGTATCTGAGAGTACAAAACGCAACAAACCCGGGAACATCGTCGGCTCGCGAGTAAATTTCTCTCCTCGACGACTTCTTTCTCTCAACTATTCCTTCTCATATTCACGGAATGCAATTGATACCCTCCCCCGGGAAGACTGCTAGCCTATTAGTTCCGCAAGTCTACGCCGACATCCACTCTTGAAATAGACGAAGTTCTGGAGGCAACGCCAGCTTCCGAGTGGTTTTCTCTATATTAACTTCGTGCCGGCAGCATCTCTACATCCCAGCAAGGCACGGCATAGCCCATGTCATCTCCGTCTCTCAACCCAAGCCCCTGATCGGCCAACACCCCGCTGGAAACCAGATTTCTCGGCCTTGGGTAGATGAAATGGCCATCGAAAGGTTGGCGGGAGTTGGTAGACGGTGATCGGTCCGTGTAAGTGGAAGATGGAGTTGTGTGTAGCGAGCCAACGTTAGCGACCGACTTCGCGAACTGCTTTGAGGACTACGATGCAGATCTGATCAATGGATAAACGCTTTCACACCTGCCTCCCGGCGATCCTAGGTCCATCCTCTCCTCCCAGCAAAGGGATAAGTGACGTCAGGGGATTTCGACATCGCAACCCACGACGTGACATGCAACGTAGGATTGAAGACCAATAAACGATGCGTACCTCGAAGAACGGCCAACACAGACTCGATGCAGAAAACGACTTGAAGCATTCCCAGAAGTCATGAAGAAAGGAACATCTGAAAACCTTGCAAGATCTGGTCGAGAAGGATATGGCGCCGTTACAGGACAGGCAACTCGAAGAACCCAGCCTCCCTACATTACTCGCAAGTGGACTCAATGTGGCCATGGTATTTCTCTCGCTCATTCACCGACGGGGAATCAAGGTTGTCTCTCGGTAAGGAAACATATCATCACGTCTACCTGAAGCTGGTAGAACGTTTGGAAAAGCTACCAGCTGAAGATTGCATTAGGAGACATTTATGTGAATGCGCTATGGTAACTGCATTCTCTGCAGCTCTGCCGTCGTCTGTGCTGCCTTCTCTGCCGTCGTCGTCTCTGCCGTCGTCGTCTCTGCCGTCGTCATATCCCATACTCAAGTATCCTTTGAACCTAGCACAATTGAATTAGGTCTCCATAGACTCCTGAAGATCGCTACAGAGGTGGCTGTAGAGACTTATATCTACAAGCTTCTTTTAGAGCGCACCCAAAGCCGTCCTCTTCAAAGGCCCAAGTCCATTGAGATAGATGAGACCTCCAGTCTGCCTGCCTATTCTGGAGCAGTTCTCTACACTTTCGAGCCCCAACCAGTTCCTTTGAGGCCCCCAAGACCCTGGGAATTCATTTCACTGCAGCATCTTGGACCGGGCACTCTCTCCTGCCTTGTCGTTGTTCTCACACATCACAGAATTCTCACCTCACATTCACTGCAGCAGTTTCTGCTCACCTCACCTCAGGAGCTGAAGCCCGGCCTCACCTTCTACACCTCCCACCTCAGGCAGCACCAAATTGAGCCTTTAAAAACCCTGCCCTCCTTTGAACTTTTCCATCCCCCCCTCTCTCTCATCCCACTCGTCAAAAAGCTTTCTCTCCTCTCCCATCCCAATATTTCTTCTTCAACATCACCTGGAAAGGGAAGACATCACAATATTCATCTCCCCTAGAGGCAAAGGAAGCCTACATTTACCTCTACACCTTCTAGCACATTCGACTTTCGACCACCTTCCCCTTCTCCTACTTTCCTAACCATACTTTCCTCTTCGAAGCACCATCTAGGAAGGCCACCACAGCGAGCACCTCACGATGGCGCCTGTAATGTCGGTACCCCAGGGCCACTCCTTCCCGAACGGCCAGGTTATTCGTCCTGAGGAAATGCGAGCGGTCACAGTCAACAGGGACACCGAAGTCATCATGAAGGACCAGAAGGGCAACCGTATCGAGGTCGGCGTCGACAAGGGCCTGATCGGTTACTTAATGTGCGACGCCCCGGAAATGGAGGGCTACGTCCTCTGCCAGCTGATGAACAACAACGGCGACTTCAGACAGGTGAGTTTTGCGGACTTTTGGCCTTAGTCAAGTTGTCACTTTGTGACCAAAAATGCTGACAGCTGCGCAGTTGCCATTCGCAAGGCAGACGTCGATGTTGGACAGCTCCACGGACTAAGAGTCGAGGAGGCTCATGGACAGAAACATGGCTGGATTTGTTACCACATCACCTGCGAAGGACGCGAGATGTCAGTCTTCCGCACTCGTTCGCGCGTATCACAAGCTGGAGGCCGTCGCATTTTAAAGGTCACGGTGCCAGTCACTGGAGACACGAGCTGGAGTCTGAGCTACTCTCTCGACCAGTTGAACCCAGCGCCCCCGATCGACACACCTCTAGTCTTGTCCATTCAATCCATGGACGACTGCAAGCCGCATGCCACCCCTTGGTACCGAGGTCCTCAACACGGCGCTTGGGACAACTCTGACGAGCTTCACTCCTTTGCTGTCACCGCCGCATGGCACGAGGAGACGACCAGCAAGTGGGTTTCGGTCAGTGTCCAGAACAGCGAGACGTTCTTCCGGCGCAATATCCAGCTACCAACCGACCATTACCACAGAAATGTGGGAGGAGACATCAGCTACAACGATTCATGGATTATGGCGACGAGAATGCTCCAATTCTTCACAACCGTCGCTACCAGAGCCCTCCTCCTTTCCTTGCGCGCTCACTCAACGTCGATGTCAAGGACGTCGTCTGGAACCACATGGAGCAGACCGTCCACTTCGTTCCCCGAACCAAGTACAACAATGCTGAGTCACCCAAGAGAGTCACGTTCTTGCAGAATTGGAACGCCCTCCAGCAGACTTGGCCGAACCTCATGATCGGACCCAAGCCCGAGGGTTTCGAGTGGAAGTGCGCCGTCTGCAGTGCCCTTGCGACATCGAGACTGCCTACTGGCAACAAGCGAATCCTGTGCCAGCCGATTACAGCAGGCGAGATAGAGCCCGACGAGATAGTCGGCTTGGGAGCTACTGCAGAACAAATCGCTTCATGGTCTTGTCAAATTTGCTGGACCGCTTATCGCCGACCTTGTGTCTGGATCAACAAGGACATCTTCACGAAGACCAGGAAGTCTACGGAAGGATCCTCCTACGTGTACACGTTGCCCAACTACCCGGGTCTTGTGCCAGTGTTCCCGAGTCAACTTCAGGCAGTGGAGCATCCCCCTACTCTCCCGGAGTACGATATTTACCATCTGAAGGGCGAGCTTGACACGAACGAGGATGGTGCTGAGGACGATGTTGTGGATGAGTTTGCTGTCGTGGGTTAAGACTTGGGATTGAGCCAAGATGCCTTCGACTTCAGAGGGACAGAAAGTGGGATATGAAAGGAGGGACTTTCAAAATGGCGGGATTGGGGCCTTACACGTCTTACACGGCAAGGTAGGGCATTCGGATACATGGGACTTCATCATTATCGGAGATCAAGCGACAACGCACACGCTTGGCATTTGCAGTATGATCAGCCATCCAGATTGTTTTCAAACGGCTTTCAGATCATCGATCACACAAGGACAAAACTAGGAGGAACTAATTAGGGCTTATGGATGAAACAAAGAAAGGGCAGCAGAGAGCCTCAGACCTGTCATCAGGTAATTTTCGTAGATAGCAAAAAAACCAGTAGATAGCACTTCTGTGTGCAGGCCGCAGGGCTACCTTTGACAGTGAAGATGCATGCTGAAATTGGAATGCGCGAGGATTGGTGTTGCTATCCTGCATGATTGTTGTGGCATGAAGTCGAGCTTCCAGTTCTGTTGACTTCAGCGATACCGGGAGCAGCGAGGTGAAATATTCAATGACCTCGCATCATCGAGTCCAAGAAAAATTGCCTGTGATTCAAGGTTGACCTATGCCATTCTATACGTACATGGGGCGAAAAGGCAAATCTAGTATGTGGAAATAAACCTAGTGAAAGGGGACTAAACAGACGTTGCGTAGACGTTCCCACGGGTCATCTCCGCGGTTGCGGCAGATCTCCAAACGTTCCTAGAGAGAAGAAGGTCTATGTTCCCACATTGTTGTGGCTGTGGCAGACCTCCCAACTTCCCTGGCGAGAAAACGGTCTATGTGCTAACAGATAATCTCGACCACTCCAAGGGAGGGGGCAGAATTCAAGGCAGCTCTATCTCGTGGCCTTCTTGACGCCTCGCTTCCCTCGAGGCTGGTGTCGGTAGCTTCACAGTGTATCAGGGGTCTGGAATACAATTTGTATAGGCAGGGGGAAAAGAGGGCGGACGCTGTCAACGCAATATGTTGATGTGAGTTCGACACAACCAACGCCATTCTTGCTGTGTTACCTTAATAGGTGATGTTAGAAGACACAGAACAAATTCCTTCGTGGACTTGTCAGATTTGCTGGATTGCTCATCTCGAGCTTTACGTTTGATGTGGCTGGTATTTGTAGACTTGGCTGAGCAGATTGCTTCGTAGACTTGTTGGATATGCTGAACCGCATATTGTTGACCTTGCGTCTGGACCAACAAGGACGTCTATAGCTGCCGAAGTCATCTTTTGGCGTCTCTCGCGTCCGTCGTTGTTCATTGTTTATCGCCTACGAAGTTGCAAGTTTGTTGATGACCAGCCATGGGGCCCGAGCCGGGACTTCCTCGACTTCCTGAGACTCACCTGGAAAGGGAAGACATTACAATAGCAACCTAATCTAGAGGCAGAAGGCTTTGTCTTTATATCTTCGAATATTCATAACAGCTCTAGGTAAGATTCCCTCCTCCCAGCCCAGGGGTCTCGTCAGGCTCTGTCTATGGTAGCTTATCTGTGAACATACATGTGCTATGTGGCATTTCAAGGGATTACCTATGAAACTCACGGCGCTGCGCAATGCTGAAACCGTGGCCATCGTTTTTGTTACTGCTCGAAAAGCCCGCCTCAGGGGCGGCAGAGGCGTCGAGAAGGCCACGGCGATGTCACAGTTGCTGTCCTCCATCGCCGTCGTCTAGCGTCTCCCGAGTCCGGCGTTTATCGAATCCCAATTCTTGTCTGTTTCGAATCGCAACTTGAATTCACCAGGAACCAGGCCACCAGAGTGCTTCGGTTTATCCACAACCGTCGGTACAACCGTGAGCTCGCACTGGACCATGGCAGCCAGGATGATTCTTTCCATCCGCAGCCAAGAAAGTAGAACCATCCGCAAGGCCGACTTTACGGATGTTTGTGCTCATATCGACCTCGCCGTTGGTAGCCCCTTACTGCGCTAAAAGCAATAGATCGACATTTTCTGTCCTTCGCGAATCACAGGATAGCTGTTCCATTGGTGACGCTGGGGCTCCTCGACTCGAGGTCTGTGAAGCTGGCCTCCATCGACATCTGACTTACCTATCCATACATTGCGTTAACGGCGTCTGCCCTTTTCTTCTGTCGCTGATACACATCGAATTCCAGACCCCTGATTCAGTACACTGCCAAGCTACCGACGCTTCAGAAGTCCGCTTCAAGGGAAGCGGAGGCGTCAACAAGGTGCTGGACTTCTCATGTTCGGACCAAAACCGGATTGGTTTCTCTTGCAGGGCCCCTACTATTTCTTGGCTATGAGGCTTTTATGTTGATGAAATTTCCAGCCCACCCAGCATGGGGCTGGGGAGAAGCAGTCAAAGCACATTGCACCTCCGTCTGTACCCGTGGCCTCCTTGACACCTCTGCTGCTCTTGACGCGGGCTTCTTGTGCAGTCGAGGTACAATATACAGTGAGGTACAGAAATGAAAAGGAGACCAAGCTTCTTGGACAGTAACAGGAGCCATGGCCGCGGTGTCCGCATTGCGCAGCACCGTGATTCCCATGAGCAATGCTAAACAGTACATACATACACGTTTACCAATATTCAGTTTCCAGAAACATGTTTAGATGGGGACTAAGATTCTTTTCATGAGCCACCTAATTGCCCAGCCACACCAGTTTGCTCCTCAACGAAAGGTCCTCTCGAGCCAGCGCGCATTTGAGAACAAAATGGTATACATGGAAAGAGAACACAATGTGCAGAAACAAAGAAAACAAGTAAGTCATACTGCTATTTATCCATTATGTCGATTCAATCTTGGGGGTGGGCCCCATCATGCCGTTGATGCTTGCGCTTGTTGGTGTCTTGGTCTCTCCTGACGACGGAGCGGGGCCCGAGCCGTTGGTCGTGGCCACGGCGGCCTTCTTCTCGTCCTCACCGCTGTCATCATAGTCCTCGTCGACGTCCATCTTGCGAGCCGCGCGTTCCGGCTCGCTGGGCTGAGGCGGGCGAGGCGCGGGAGTGTGCTCCATGGGCGCTCTCTCCTCAGCAGGGTACTCCTTGACACCCGGGGCGGGTCCGGAGGGAGGTCCGGACGGGCCGTTCTGGGCGCCACCATCATGGAGAATGTTCTGCATCGGCGCAGCGGCCGACTGCATGGGCGGGAGGTGGTTAGAGGGCATGGGGTGGCTCGGCTGGTGGTGCGCAGCCTCCGACGGGTGGTAGCCGTCGTTGGCGTTGCGCTGCTCCTCGCCCCTACGGATGTCATCCGCCCTCCTTTGGTCATCAGCCCTGCGCTGGTCCTCGGCGCGACGTTGGTCCTCAAAGCGGCGAGCCTCCGATGAGTTGCGACGGTACGGGTCGCGAGAGCCGGGAGGGGTAGACGGACGTCTAGGACGAACGTCGTCCAGTCTGGCGCGGTTCTCGTCATTGGCAGGCCGCTTGTGAGCAGAGTCCTCTTCCCACTCGCGCATGCGCTTGGGTCCAACGGAAGCCGGGCGATCATGCTCGCTGCGGGCGGCAGAGTCCGCAGGGATCGCGCCCGGAGGAGGCGGAGGCGGGTGTGCCGCCTCCATGGGACCGGGTGTGGGGCCGTCAGGGTGATGTCCGTAAGGCGGAGGTGGGGGCGCCTGGTGTTGAGGGTACGCAGACTTGGGGGACGGCATGCGGTTGTCGTGCATGGGTCTCTCACCGGGGCGGGGGCTGTTGGTGCCGCGGAACTGAGAAGGCGGGCCCGGAGGGATGTTCGGCGGGCCGGTCTGCATGGGAGGCATCTGAGCAGACGACGGCTGAGAGTAGTTGGGGTTGGGAATACGAGGCGCCGAGGTGGGAGGGGCTTGGTGGGCCTGCTGAGACTGCTGCGGCGGGCCCGACTGGTAGTGTGAGGGAGGAGGAGGGGTCGGGCCCCGGCGAATCGACTCGGGGTAGGGCGGGCGACCGCCGTGCTGCTGCTGCTGCTGCTCCTGCCTCGGGCTGGGCTGGCGCGGCATGGGAGGCGCGGGGCCGCGGAATGGCTCACCGCGCTGCTCGTAAGGGTTTGGGGGCTGCGGAGGGGGGTTGATATCCGCGAGTCTGCCCCAACCATTAGGGCCGGGACCGTTGGGTCCGGGAGGCGGAGGCGGCTGCTGTCCTTGCTGCTGGCCTCCGCTGGGAGCAGAGCTTCCCCACTGAGGAGCCGGGGGACCGACTTGGTAGGCCTGCGGGTGAACGTCGGCCGGCTGAGGGGCGGAAGGGGGCTGGCCACCGTTGGCGCCGCCGTTCCTGAGCAACTGGAGTCGCGCCTTGATGTGAGGGTTCTGGGGGTCCAGCTCGGCAGCGCGCTGGTACGCATCCAGAGCGTCACTAATTTGGTTGTTGCAGGACTCGTACAGAGTACCCAAGTCGTACCACACCTCAGAGATGAAGGGGTTGAGGCGGATGGCGCGAGAGTAGGCGTCAAGAGCATCACGGTATTGGTTGATCTGGTAGTAGAGAACACCGATAGAGCACCAGAACGTGGGGTTGCGCCCATCACGATAGACGGCTTGTTGGTACGCCTCATACGCCTTGGGGTACTTTTGCTGGGACATGTAGCACCGACCGAGCAGGTACCAACTTTGCGCGTCGCCCTGGTCAGCAGCGACAGACTTCTCCAAGAACTCAATGGCGCGCTCTTGGCTCTGGAAGCTGCTGCTCTGCTGGTGGTGAAGCCAGCCGAGCTGTTGCAGGACCTTTGCGTGACTGGGATCGCGCTCGAGGACCCGCTGGTAGGCAGCCTTGGCGCTATCATACTGTGGAGGTCAGTAAAAGCTTTCATCGGCCTGGAATCGAAGGACTTACGTCTTTCTGCTGTTCGTGGACGTGTCCAATCTGGAACCAGATGTCCTCCTCGGTCAGGGGAGGCGGCGGGGAGTTGACAATGTACTTGAAGCACTCCAAACTCTGACCAAACTTCTGCTGCTGCTTATATATTATACCGAGACGAAAGTAGATTTCGTTTGCCTTCTCGAAGTCGGGCTGCATCTGCATGACTTGGGAGAAGGCCTCCTCGGCGTGCTCGAGAG